AATTGTATTCGAGTCTTACACACATGCTATACAGATAATGTAGAGTCGTGGGTTAACTTGAGTGATGACAGATATTATGGGAGTGGCTGGAGCGCAGGAGAGGCAGATAACATGATCTTGAACCTTACAAAATTTGTCAAGTTCTTCGTCAGGTGTCTTTTTTAATTATATGATGTCATTACGTTGCTGTCTTGCCGGCAGCCAATCGCTGCATTGCTGATCGTGGTTTCGAGCATCGATGCATGCACACTCTGGAATGGAGTAAACAAACATGTGCATTGATATTATTATGCCTCAAATGATCGGTGACATGGGCTGGACTCTGCACACATGAAAGTCATATAAGTCATAAACAGTTGGGCAGCGTTGTAAATGTATTACGAGTCCTTGGTTTGGGGAAATGTTAACAGATTCAGTTCACTAAACTAGAAAGACAAACCAAATCATATACCGGTGCCATCCATATAAGTAGTCAAAAACTACCATGGTAAATGTCCAGAAAACATGGCACTTTTGCTACTTTCTTTTTAGTGCGTAATTTTCTGGTCTGTTATTTTTCTCTCGCAACTTTGGCTAAATGTGATAACATTTCGTAACGTGCGCAAAGATAAGGATATTTCAATACACAACAGCGATATTGTTACCTTGGTTACTGCTGTTTATTCCGCGCGTCAACCATCCATATTACACCAGACAGATTTCATTCCACATGCAATTTACACTGAACTATTTGCATCATTCACAAACAGTTTTCAGCAGCTCTGGCCTGAATTCTTGGAAACAGATCAAATAAGTCCTGGTTCAAATCAAGGCCATTGGTTGCACAACTGGGTATGGACCTGTGTGATCCTGAAGCTGTCAGCTCTAACGGTTATAAACACTGCGTCTGAACTGCGCGAATACTGTACGTCAACGACGACGGAACTGTTCGCGCTACATTAGATCCATACGTATTTAGTTATTTGTATTTAAACAATGTACGCACAAAACACAAATCAAAGATCAGGAATACACTTTTTTTCACGTGTTTTTCAGCAGTTCCGTCCATATCGTGTCCTCCACTGATTCGTTTCCTGTCGCAGGATTACCACGTAATTGCGTGTCAACGAGCCGCACCGCAGCATTTCATTTTGTGTGATGTTTTTAACATTCGTCTACATTGCATTCATTTATCAGACATAGTAAGATAAAATATTACATGTGATTTTTGGCAACACTTTGCATTGCAAGTTTTTTTTTACTATCATTGTGATGTGAAATTAAAATTCATTTACGTTAATCATGATGATGATTTTGATTGTTGTTGATTGCATTCATCTCATTTTTTTAGGAATTATTGTCTATATATGAAAACTGCATACTAGTATAATAATAATGTATTGTAATAATGTATTATTATTATTATAAGTTGTATGTACAGTCTGTATGTATGTTGTATGTACAGTCATTTGCATTGAGCTGGTCTCTGCCCTCATCTAATAATAATCTAATCTAATCTAATCTAATCTAATCTAATCTAATCTAATAAAGCACAATAGTTGCCTCACAATAATAATAATAATAATAACCTTGCTGATTGTATTAATTGTTGTTGTTCGTTTTTTATTCATTTGATTTTTTTGGAAAATTATTTGCTATATATGAAAACTGCGTAATAGAATAATAATAATAAAAACAACAACAACAATAACAATAATAATAATAATAATTATTATTATTATACATTATTACACATATTAGACTGTACATTAATATTATGGTGAGTTGTCTGTATATTAATGCACCAGGCAACTATTATGCCTTTTCATAATATGCTGTATAATAATAATAATAATAATTATTGTTGTTGTACATTAATATTATGGTGAGTTGTCTGTATATTAATGCACCAGGCAACTATTATGCCTTTTCATAATATGCTGTATAATAATAATAATAAT